AACCTGTCTGGAGCTCAGATCTCCCAGGAAAATCAATCTTTTCCTCACAAAGTGGGAGAAATGGGATAACAGAGAGCTGTGGGGTGAGGAACCGTACCTGGAACCCAGATTTCACAGGAATATCAATCCTTCCCTCCCAGAGCAGTAGGATTGGGATAATGGGGATCTTTTGGGGTGAGGGAACCTGCCCATCCCGGATTTCCCGGGATAACCGCCCCGGCCAGGCGCCCGCCCCACCCCATTGCCTCCGGAGCGCCTCCCAAATTCCAGAGGGAGGCTGGGGAGAGGATCCCGGGATCGGCCCTGCCCTGCCAGCCCTTCCCTTCCCTCCCAGCCAGGCGTTCCTGTGACTCTGTGCAGGAGTGTTACTGGGATGCACTGGGATGTACTGGGATGGATGGAATGCCCTGGGATGCAGTGGGATGGACTGGAATGCACTGGGATATACTGGGATGGACTGGGATGGCTTGGGATGGACCAGGATGCACTGGGATGGACTGGGATGCACTGGGGTGTACTGGGATGTAGTGGGACATACTGGGATGTACTAGGATGCACTGGAATGCACTAGGATGTACTGGGATGGACTGGGATAGACTATGAGGTACCGGGATCAGTGGGATATACTGGGATGCACTGGGATGGACTGGGATGCACTGCAATGTACTGGGATGCACTGGGATGTACCAAGATGTGCCAGGGTGCACTGGGATGTACTGGGACATACTGGGATGGACTGGGATGGACCAGGGTGTATCGGAATGCACTGGGACGGAACCAGGAGGCACTGGAATGCACCGGGATGCAGTAGGATGCACTGGGATGGACCGGGATGCACCGGGACACACTGGGATGCACTGGGATGTGCCAGGATATACCAGGATGCATTGGGATGTACTGGGTTGGACCAGGATGCACTGGGATGGACTGGGATGTGCCGGGATGTACCGGGATGGTGCAGCCGGAGCACAGGGACGCCCCGGGATGGGGCAGGGCTGTGCAAGGCCCGGGGCCCGGTGAGGCCGGGGGTCCATCCCGCAGCAGCAATAGCATTGCCAGCATYCCAGCATTCCCAGATTCCCAGCCCATCCCGGTTCCCGTGCCCGCGGTGTCCTTGGGATGCGGCTCCATCCCACGGCACTGAATCCTGCAGGATCAGCAGCCCCAGGAGGGGATTCCTGGGCTGGGATGGATCCGGTGAGGATCACGGGGGTCCTGTGCCCTAAAAAGCACTGTGGGTGCATCCCAGGAGGATCCCTGCCTTCTCTGCATCCCGGAATGATCCCTGTCCTTCCTTCCTGCATCCCGGAGTGATCCCTGTCCTTCCTTCCTGCATCCTGGAGTGATCCCTGTCCTTCCTCTCCACATCCCGGAATGATCCCTGTCCCTCCTCCTGGCACCCTGGGATGATGATCCTCGCCCTCCCCGCACCCTGGGGTGATCCCTGTCCTCTCTGCATCTCGGAATGATCCCTGTCCTTCCTTCCTGCATCCTGGAGTGATTTCTGTTCTCCCTGCATCCCTGAGCGATCCCCGGGGATGATCCATCCATCAACCTCTGGGGTGATCCCTGTCCTTCCTCCCCTCATCCCGGCACGATCCCCTCCCTTCCCGCATCCCAGGATGATCCCTGTCCTTCCTCCCCTCATCCCGGCACGATCCCCGCCTTCCCCACATCCCAGGGTGATCCCCTCCCTTCCCGCATCCCAGGGTGATCCCTGTCCTTCTTCCCTGCATCCCGGAATGATCCGTTTCCTTCCCGCATCCTGGAGTGATTCTCCGGGATGATCCCTGTCCTTCTTCCCCTCATCTCGGCACGATCCCCGCCCTCCCCGCATCCCTGGATGATTCCTGCCCTTCCTCCTCGCATCCCGGGGTAATCCCTGCCCTCCTTCCCCATATCCCGGGCTGACCCCCGCCCTCCCCGCATCCCAGGATGACTCTCCGGGGTGATCCCTGTCCTTCCTCCCGGCTCCCTGGGATGATGATCCCCGCCCTCCCCGCATCCCTGGATGATTCCTGCCCTTCCTCCCCACATCCCGGGCTGATCCCCTCCCTCCCCGCATCCCTGGATGATTCCTGCCCTCTTTCCCCGCATCCCTGGATGATTCCTATCCTTCCTCCTCGCACCCCGGGGTAATCCCTGCCCTCCTTCCCGCATCCCGGCACGATCCCTGCCCTCTCCACATCCCCGAGTGATCCCTGTCCTCCCTCCCCGCATCCCAGGATGACTCTCCGGGGTGATCCCTGTCCTTCCTCCTGACACCCTGGGATGATGATCCCCGCCCTCCCCTCATCCCGGGGTAATCCCTGCCCTCTTTCTCTGCATCCCGGCGCGATTCTCGACCTCTCCGCATTCCGGGGTAATCCCTGCCCTCTTTCCCCACATCCCGGGGTGATCCCCGCCCTCCCCGCATCCCTGGATGATTCCTGCCCTTCCTCCCCTCATCCCGGGGTAATCCCTGCCCTTCATCCCCTCATCCCGGCGCGATTCTCGCCCTCCCCTCATCCCGGGGTAATCCCCGTCCTTCCTCCTCGCATCCCGGCGCGATTCTAGCTCTCTCCGCATCCCGGGATAATCCCTGCCCTTCCTCCCCTCATCCCGGCGCGATTCTCGCCCTCTCCGCATCCCGGGGTGATCCCTGTCCTTCCTCCTGACACCCTGGGATGATGATCCCCGCCCTCCCCACATCCCGGGATAATCCCTGCCCTCCCCGCATCCCTGGATGATTCCTGCCTTCTCCGCATCCCGGGGTAATCCCTGCCCTCTTTCCCCGCACCCCGGGGTGATACCCGCCCTCCCCGCATCCCTGGATGATTCCTGCTCTCCTTTTCCGCATCCCGGGGTAATCCCTGCCCTTCCTCCCCTCATCCCGGCGCGATTCTCGCCCTCCCCGCATCCCAGGGCGATCCCTGTCCTTCCTCCTGGCATCCTGGAATGATGCTCCGCGCCCTCCCCTCATCCCAGGGTAATCCCTGTCCTCCCCGCATCCCTGGATGATTCCTGCCCTCCTTCCCCACATCCCGGCCCTTTCCCCGCCCTCCCCGCATCCCTCCGCGTCGCCTGCGGGCGCATCTGGCTCGGGGAGAAGGAGCCCCATGGCAACGGGGAAGGGTCTGGAGCGTTTTCCATGGATACGGCAGCGGGAGCGTCCCCCGGGGCCGCCGGGCTCGGGGCGGCGGGAGCGGGGACCCAGCTCCGGGGCGGTTTTTGGGGTGATTCTGCAGCGTTTTGGGGGCGTTTTTGGTGCTTTTTGCGGGCATTTTTGAGGCATTTTGGGGGCATTTTGTGAGCAGCGTTTTTGGGGTGTTTGGGGGTATTTTTGATCCTTTTTGGTGCGTTTTAGGGGTATTTTAGGAGCAGTTTTTTGGCATTTTGGGGATGTTTTGGGGGCGTTTTTGGCCCTTTTTAGTGCATTTTAGGGGTATTTTGGAAGCAGTTTTGGGGCATTTTGGGGATGTTTTCGGGGGCCAATTTGGGGGCATTTTTGGGGCGGTTTTGGGGTATTTTTGGCGCTTTTTGGTGCGTTTTAGGGATATTTTGGGAGCAGTTCTGGGGCATTTTTGTTGACTTTTTAGGGGCGTTCGGGGGCGGTTTTGGGGTGTTTTGGAGCTGCAGCCGGTGCCGGGTGGGTGGCAGGGAGGAAGCTGAGATTTGCATGGCAGACGGGTGGTGGCACCGGGGACAGCGCAACGCCACCGCCGGTGTCCCCCGGGAGGGGCCCTGGGTGGGGGTGAGAAACCCCAAAATTCCGGCTGGGGGTGGGACACGGGGACAGGGGACAGGAGGTGGCTTCGGTGTCGGGGTGGGGGAACCTGGAGCTGCCTGGGGACACCATGGGGTGACTTTGGGGGGTTGTTAATGGGGTTGGGAGTGGGCGTGTCACAACCCTCTGTCCCACCTTGGTCCCCTTGTCCCCTTCGTTGTCCCCATCAGGGTCTGGGCTCGAAGAGGTGCCACCCCTCCCTTGTCCCCTCCATTGTCCCCAGCTCCAGAAGGTGCCACTCCACCAGGGTCCCCTTGTCCCCTCCACTGTCCCCATCATGGATTCAGCTCCAGGAGGTGCCACCTCCCTCTTGTCCCCTTCATTGTCCCCATCAGGAACTGGGATCCAGGAGGTGCCACCCCACCAGGGTCCTCCTGTCCCCTCCATTGTCCCCAGGGCAGATTTGGCTCCAGGAGGTGCCACCTGTCTCTTGTCCCCTCTCTTGTCCCCCTCATGGATTCAGTTCCAGAAGGTGCCAGCCCACCCTTGTCCCCTTCATTGGTACCAGGAGGTGCCACCCCAGCCTTGTCCCCTCCAATGTCCCCATCATGGATTCAGCTCCAGAAGGTGCCACCCCCATTTGCCCCACCCTGGTCCCCTTGTCCTCTCCATTGTCCCCAGCTCCAGAAGGTGCCACCCCACCCTTTGACCTCTTGTCCCCTTCATTGCAGTAGGAGGTGCCACCCCTCTCTTGTCCCCTCCATTGTCCCCAGGGCAGATTTGGCTCCAGCAGGTGCCACCCCCATTTACCCCACCCTTGTCCCTTTTTCCCCTTCATTGGCTCCAGAAGGTGCCACCCCACCCTTGTCCTCTTGTCCCCTTCATTGGCACTAGGAGGTGCCACCCCTCCCTTGTCCCCTCCCTTGTCCCCTCCCTTGTCTCCAGGGCACATTTGGCTCCAGGAGGTGCCACCCCACCCTTGTCCCCTTGTCCCCTTGAATGGCTCCAGGAGGTGCCACCCTTCCTTTGTCCCCTCCATTGTCCCCAACTCCAGGAGGTGCCACCCCTCCCTTGTCCCCAGGGCACATTTGGCTCCAGGAGGTGCCACCTCTCCCTTGTCCTCTCCATTGTCCCCAGCTCCAGGAGGTGCCACCCCACCCTTGTCCCCTTGTCCCTTTCATTGGCACCAGAAGGTGCCACCCCTCCCTTGTCCCTTCCATTGTCCCCAGCTCCAGAAGGTGCCACCCCACCCTTGTCCCCTTCATTGGCACCAGGAGGTGCCACCCCTCCCTTGTCCCCTCCACTGTCCCCATCACAGACTCGGTTCCTCCAGCTGTTCACTCCCTTTCAGCTGCCCCCGCCTGAGTTTTTTGGGATTTTCTCRCTCACCCCAAACCCTTCCAGGGCAGGATTTCCTCCCCAGGAGGGTGGAAATCCGCGGAAAGCGCTGGAAGCGCCTCTGGCACAGTCCAGCCCCACATCCTGCCTGCTCTGGAGAGCAGAGAGCTCGCACCGAGCTATTAATAGGAAAAAAATCAGCTGGAAAGGCAGGAAACTGCTCCAAAACAGGTCAGAAACAGGGCTGGATCATGGAAAATGAGGATGAAATCCCGAAAAATCCCAGTGGCAGCTCCTGGTGTGGGGATTTGGATCCAAAACTYCTCGGGAAAAACAGGAGTGCAACCCCTGCGGGGTTTTGGGGTTCAGGTTTTTGTCCGAGAAAAGGGGGTGCCTGGAAAAGTCTGCTGGGGTGGGATTTGGGGGAAATCCGGGAGTTWTTTGCTTCCAGAGGGTTGGATTTGCTGGATTTGGGGTTTTAATGAGGGCCTCGTTAAAGTTCTCGTTAAGGTCCTCATTAATCCCCCCCTTCCGGAGCAGGGAGCTCTGGCTGAGGCCTTGCAGGGCAATTTTGGGGCTTTTCCAAGGGATTTCCCAAATCCTTGGTCCTTCCATGGCACCGGCTCTGAAGGGAAGGGGCTGAGCCACCTGCCCGAGGTGTCCCCAACCCCGGTGACATCCCCTGGTGGCGGGGAAACGCCTCAGCTTTTGGCTCCTCGGGGTTGAACTTACCATCCCCACCCCATTCCCACCCTATCCCCACCCCAATTCTGCCCCAATTCTGCTCCATCCCCGCTCAATTCCCATCCCATTCGCACCCCATTTCCTCTCTGTCCCATCCCTATTCCTGCTCCATTCCCACTCCATTTCCACCCAATTCCTGCCCCATTCCCCCATTCCCACCCCAATCCCATCCCATTCCCACCGCAATCCCATCCCATTCCCGCCCCATTCCTGCCTCATTCCTGCCCCCTTCCCGCTCCACTTCTGCCCTATTTCCACCCCATTTCTGCCCCATTCCTGTCCCATCCTCACCCCATTCCCA